CTAGTTGCAGTTCTTAGTGCAAAGGGAAGTGATAAAAATTTATATACTTTCAATATCTAAGCATTTACAGTTCTCAGACACCTCCCAAGCAGTCAGTCTACTGACTTTGTTTGTCCCAAACCTTTGTTTACCTTTTCCAAACACTACACTTAGTCTAAGGTGGTTAGAAGGTAGGCTAAGATATGTCCTGGCACCTCCTTTTCAATGATTTCCTGCCTTTTTAAATACAGTATTTCTCAGCAGTTATTTAATAGTTACCAGAATGATCCCAAATATATTCCTCTTTAACAATAGAGGATCACAGAAGCATAGAATATTCTGAGTTGGAAGGGACCTAAAAGGATCATTAAAATCCAATTTCTGGCCCTGCACAAGACATCCCCAAGAATCACACCATATACCTGAGAACACTGTTCACGCACTTCTTGAATTCTGTCAGGTTTGGTGCTGTGACCACTTCCCAAGTGCTCAGCAGTGCAGCAATAAAAACTGAACAGCCTTCACCTCAGTGAAGCTCTCAGCCACCCTCTGGGTGATTAACCTTTTCCTAATATTCAGACTAAACTTGCCCTGACACAGCTTCATGCCATTGTCTCATATAAGAGCTAAGATTTTCTTAGTTTCATAAAGGAAACACAGATCTTTAACTCTGACAAATGTACAGAGAACAAATGACTTTTATAGAATTATGCCCTTTGTACTAAATGAAGGATCAGCCCTGCAAGATATATTTAGTCATGAAGTGATCTGCCCTATATAAAGCAGCCTGCAGCACATGTTCTCTTTGGTAGTGACAAGCAAATGTCACCCAGAGCAAGAACTCTCTAAAACCTTACACTAACAATGGATTCCACCTCCTCCTCGGTGACTTGGGGAAGCTGAATCCAGAAACACAATTTATCTCCCTGACAGGACAGGGCTCTGGGCCAGGATTCCATACACCTTATCACCAGGGTATTAGGGGATCCCTGGGGAATTGCCACTGCACCACATCATCCTCCAAACAGAAGATGCCCAGATAGATAGACAGACAAGCAAATTCTTCATGCCACTCTCTGAAGCAAAATCTAAAGAAAGAGCATTATTATCCCACAAGATACAAATGCCTAATAGGAACAATTCTTGCAATACACTTGAGTCCACATACAGAGCTGACTTAGCCGTTGATTTGTACTGTGCATTTTTAAGCCAAATTTTTATGAGACAAAAAATAATTCTGTTGTATAAATTATTTGCTTGAGTTACAAAAATGGAGGAGAATTTTTTTCAGTACCTTAAGCAATGGAAAGTCAGATAGGTAAAATTACTTCTTCAGGCCTCTCTGCTGAAACCATGATCTGATACAAGTGTATTTGTAACTTCAGACTGTGTGACCAAGTGTAATTAATAGAGTTTATCTAACATGGTGCTGCAGTACATGCAATTTAGATACTGCAGTTTAAAATACACAAATGGGCTTTCAAAGACAACACTTCTTCCATGTCGTCAGAGACTGGGTGTGAACAGTTACTGCTGCTTTACAGATTTTGCACAACAGCTCTTTTTATATGACTTTATGAATTTAGGTTACTTTTCATTAGTTTTACTATCAAAGTGAGGACAGATTACATATTCCTCAGCAAGATGCAAAGAGGCTCCAGAGGAAATACCAGTGCCATTTAAAAGACAGATAACTGCCTTAATGAAGTTGCCTTTCTTTTTTTCCCTGTGAAGGACTGAAGAGTGAAAAATAGTTCTCATTCACAAAGGCTACACTAATTGTTTGCAGTGTCTGAAAAGAGTGTTTGGATGAGGTGAGGTGAAGGCTGTACAGTTTTTATCTGACTTGTGCATTTGGGATGTAAGAAATATCATGTGATATATTGGAAGTACTGAGTGGGGTTCAAAAAGGAAAATCGAGCATTTCTCTACTGCTTTGTACAACTCAGTAGCACAGACCTTCTTTGAATGTCTGCCAAAGAAATAAACAGGAGATGGGTCATGGAGGCTTTATGTCCCAGAATAAATTCCTTAAAAGCAGTTACAAAACAACAAAAAAGTTTTCATCCGTAATTTCCTGTTACCAAAGTTTTAATTTGCAGCTACATGAAGGTCTGCTTTATTCTGGAAGCATTTAAGTAAAAATGCACACTCTAATCTTATATGAAATCAAATTATTTTAAATCATGAGGACAAAAGCAGTCCCAAACGAGATTTGCTGTCATTGTTCAAAATGCTGAATGTACAAAGGGTATGAAAACGTCTTTACTTCAAGAAGGTTGAAATCTGAATAGCACTGACATGTGGTTTAAAGGATTACAAAAATCCTGTTATCTCCATTATACAGATGGGAAATTGAGGCACAGAAAGAATAAAAACTTGCCCAAGGTCAAATAAGGAATCTCCTCAGATACAACTTTTCTCTCTAACATACCTCAGTATAAGTTTATAGTCACCTAAGAAAGAAATGTGGTAGTAATCCACATAACATACTTCATCATGGACATCTTTCTCTTATCATTTATTTCTAAAATAGGTTCAAACCAACACTGCCAATCTCCTCTGAACACAGTTTAGTGGTGTACTCGGCAGCGCTGCACTAACAATTGGACTTGATCTTAAAGGTCTTTTTCAACCTAAAGGACTCTCTGTTTCTACATGCTTATGAAGGACACTGTAAAAGTATGCATGCACTAATTAATGAAAGCTGAGTCCATCATGAAGCTGTCTGGACTATTTTTGAAAGGACGGAAAGTTAAATAAAATACTCCAGCCTCAGAAGCTGTCCTTGTAAAGGAAAACAGTGGGACTGATCTGGTACCACACACAGTTTACAGCATGTGAATCTGATGGACGTGGGTTCCTTCCATTACAGTGGTTTAAAGCAGGGAGACTTCTACTGATGTCTAGACTTGTAGCAGAGCAACTCAGCAAGGAGACAAGGAGAACCAGGTCCTTGCACTGCAGGAAGATGGTGACACACTTTAGGGCTGACTTGACAGGAGGAAAATTGCAGCATTCATACATGATAAATCACATGCACCGAGCTGAGTGAACAGCTTGCAGTCAGCACTTCCCTGTGAGCAGCGCAAGCACCAGGACCACAGTGTGAAGCATCTGCTCAGAGTCCTCCAAGCTTACCAGAGATCTCAGCATTTGCACTCTTCTGATGAATAAGGAATGCCAAATTACTTTTTTAGAGGTGGTTAGGAGACTGGAAGAGGTGAATCATGTGGGCAGTATCTAAGGTCAGAGAGCAGGAAGATGCTTCTAAGCATCTTTAAGGAAACATTTTCTTCCAGCCCTAGACAGCAAGTGTCTCTTACTGCTCATATAAATGAACTAAGAGCCAGATTTGGTTCAACAGTTTCTCTAGCCTTCATCACAGTCAGATTCATGCTTGCCTCCTGTCTCAGCAATGCCACTTGCTCCAGGTACACACCCCAGTGGTTACATCCCTCTTTCACAGAGGCCGATCTTCCCAATCCTTATTCAACAAGAAAAATAACTGTGTATGTGAGAATTAATTACACACCCTCCATTAATTTGTTCCCTGTTGTGATAGGAGATACAATTAAAATAAAGAAGTTGGGTATACTGTTCATTCCCTTATGTTCTTATACCAGATAGGGAGAAGGATTGCTTTTAAATTATCACAGTGTCTTGCTCATACTGAAGTGGGTTTTTTTGCTAAGAACTCTTTCTTTAAGAGGCAAACTTGTCCAAGAAAAAGTCTCTGCTAATTTTCAACAAAGCCCACTTTAATAGTTCCCCATGGCAGTAATGCTTAGATGTTATCCCTATACTTTGGTCCCAATCTGCCCCTAATAAACATGCATTTTGAGGATACCACTGAAGAAACAGGTTGCACATTACTCAGCCATGCTGAGGTACTGGGACTGATATACTGCTTTAAAAGCACTATGAAGGTGAAAAACTATTCATAACTTTTTCATATAACTCATATTTTGTGTCATGGTGAAACAAGTACTGAATGATTAGTCTGGCTTTTTATAATATTAATATGCACCTGCTAACATGAAAAGTCTCTGCTTTGCATGAGTCCTGCCTTATCACTCATAGCATTTGTTTTAGAGAACTAGCATGCAAATATTTTAGAATTAAAAAAAAAAAAGGTAAATAACACTAGACACATTTAGAATTTGATTTGTTCTAAATTCTCTCCATGACCACACATGCAAAATACAAAACACCACCTCTTTCTAGCAGCAGCTAAAGGCACACAGAACATCCCTGACAGCATTTAGCATTTTACAGAATAAGGCATTGGATAGCAAAAAAAAAAAGACAAAACATCTTGAATGTCAGTGAAACACAGTCATCCCTAAACTAGATCAGGTTTGCTGTTTCACAGAGCACACCAAGTCTGCTTAACAGTTGGCAGTAAGAAAGACAGATACACAATGCACATCCTCCAAAAGTATTTTAAGTCGGCAGGATACAATGGTAAAGACCACAATGTGAGCAGACTATCACCTCACCATATTCCCCTGACATGGAAAGTTAAAACTTGTCTTCAATTATCATACACAGTCACATTTCAGTGTTGCGCCTCTTGCTGAAGAAAATCTAAGTTTCCAGAATGTTTCATGTCTCAGGTACACCCTGCTGCTGTTTCTCAGGCCCTCTATCCACCAGGCCCACAGATGACAAAAGTCTCTGTTGTTCTGCAGAACCCCTATAAAAACACTAGAGATAATTCCAAGGCCTGCACAGAAGCAAGTCCACTTGCCAAAAGCCTTTGAAACTTCTCAAATCACTGGGTATTGCACAATACACATTCATTGCCTCCACTGACAATCACGTCTGGATTGTCTTAAAAGTTCAAAATGTATGTAGAAAAAGAAACAAATGTAGTAACAGTGCAGTGGTATGTTGCTGCCTATATTCTAAATTTCTGTGGTTGGAGCAAAAATTTCTTGTTTCATTGTTGGCATTAGGATGGTCAGTAAAACTTCCTTGCAACTAAAGGAAACAAATTCCCTTGAAAAAACACATACCAAGCACATTAGCCGTACACTGGAGAATTCCTGAGACATCCTCAGTTTCTTCATTGCCAGAGCAGTCTGTATAGGAGCATCTGTTTGATATATTGTGAAAATTCTTCTCTGCATCTCTGTAACTACAGGAAAAAAAAAATTTATCACAACTCCTTATACAAATGCAAAGTCAACAAACGTCTTTCAGAAGTGGTGGCAAAGGATTAAGGATTAATTGTCCCATGATGGGCAATTTCAAGATTCAGCTGGACAGAGTGCTGAGCCATCCTGTCTAGACCATGCTTCTGTCAAGAAAGGTTGGACTAGATGAGCTTTGAGGTCCCTTGCCAACCTGATATTCTATGACTGAAAAGGTGTTGCTATTCTCTTTTTATAAGAAACGTTCCAGTTCATTAAGCAGTCGCCATCTGATGGGATTGTACAGAAGCAGGATTGAACAGCAGTTTACCATTTACATCCAGGTTATGTATTGCTATTCCTAAGCAACTCTAAGAATTTGAGAGAAAAAGTTAAAAATTAAATTTAAAAGCTTATCATGGAGGGCTGGGAATTGGAAAGCACAGAGCAAAGCATTATCATGCACCTTTCCCCACCTCAAATTAACACTTACCCAATAACTTGATGCTCAAAGTACTGCAGTGTCTTTTGAAGAGTCTGCCGAATGGTCTGAGGCTACGGAAGAATAATTTTAAAAATTGTGAGATTAGGGAATTGGAGCACAGTTCAATTAACAGATCGTTTCACGCACTATTTTTCTTCAGTTTTACTCCTCTTTATCTTCTACCTGCCATGTGCCCATTGCAACAACAGATATTAAATATTATTATTCATTCCTTGTATCTTACTTCACCATTTAAATAGGAAGAATTTTACAATGTGGCATAATTAATACTGCTTATAAGGCTAGTTGCACATAACAAAGGAGCCACTTCACTCTCAAAAACAGCTCTCAAAAACTATCACCCACCAACTATCTCAGTAATTTAAAATAATTAATTTGAAATAGTCTGCAAGAAAATGCCATTATTTTGTGATGAAAGTATCACCAGGAAAAGGCATTGAATTTTTAAACTCTATATGCTCCCTAGAGCATTTTCTAATAAAGAATATTATAAATATGCAATTTATTTTGGCTTATTTTCCTACAAGCTATAACTCTTCAGTCATCTTTCAGATTACCAGGAAAGTCAAGTTCATCAGAAGAAAATCATGGCATGCTTCAAGCACTTCTATACTATTTCACTTTAATAGGTGTTCACCAAACTACACAGGTATATAATTGTCTTTATTTGCATTATTACCACTACTACAGAGTTCACCAAAATACTTATGTATATAAATGTTTATTTTCTTACTATTACTGCTGCTGAGGCTGCTATTATTTGAATGAATTCATGAGAGATTTTTGGCAAATAAAGGACATGTAATATCCATGTAATTTTCTCTCTTGAATCTTCCAAGTCATTTACGACAAAATGTTATTCCTCAGAAATTACTAGCTTGTATCAAATCCGAGGTTCTTCACCTGTCTATTTTGACCTGGTGCCAGAATTCAGACACAGATACACAAATGAGAGTTATAAGCTTTTCTTCTGTATCAAAAGCACACATGGACATTTTGATCAGACTCACAACAACACACACTGAAATTTTAGAGATGTTTGGTCTTTTCTTGCCTTTTGGAATAGACATCTAATTGTTTTAGAAAGTAATAGTCAAAATGCTCCTTAATTAGAGGAATATCATTCTAAAACCACAATCACCTTTGAAAGTCTCAAATTTTGCTTACTGACCTACAGATTCAGCAGTTCAAGAGCTGAGCTTCCCACCTTGCTCAAACTCTTGCTCATGAGTTTGCAGAAGGAGTCATCTGTCCTAATGACAGCAGGAAGAAAAAACTGTATACCAGGCTACACTAGGTTTGTACAACTGCAAAAAATTTATTTTCTAATACCAAACTGTAAGAATGTGTCTACACTTTTGTATTTAAAAATTAAATTAATTAAATTGTAAAAATTAAAATTTAAATATATGCAGTCAAAAAGAGCATAAGAGGGCTTATAGGAAAGATGGGGACAAGCTTTTAAGCAGGACCTGTTGCAGTAGGACAAGGGCAATGTTTTAGAACTAGAAGAGGATAGAATTAGACTAGACATGAGAAAGAAGATATTTATAGCAACGGTGGTGAAACACTGGAACAGATTGTCCAGGGAAGTGGTAGGTGACTCATTCAAGGTCAAGTTGGATGGGGCTCTCTCTGGGCTGAAGATGCCCCTGCTCATTCTAGGGAGGCTGGACAGAGGACCTTCAAAGGTCCCTTCCGACCCAAACTATTCTGTGATCTCATTAAAAAAAAAAAAAAAAAAAAAAAAAAAAAAAAAAAAAAAAAAAAAAAAAAAAAAAAAAAAAAAACAAAAACCCTCAACATAGATGGAAACCTTGGAAAAGGTTTTTCTTGTTAACTATCAGGTAATCACTTTACATCTCTGTGGGAACTAACTAATTACCTGTGCCAAAAGGCTTTAAAAGTTGCATGTTCTCTTGTAAAACACGATGGAAGCACCATATGAGTGAAACCATCACATATCAAAAAAACATCTCCTTCTCAGTGGTACAGCGCATTTTGAAGTCTTCAGGCCTAATGGGCTGCAAACATATTTAATGGCATGTTCTCACTGAGACTCAGAAGCTTTCCTCTGCTCAGAAGGCAGAAAAATCCACTCTTTACGTCTAGAAGAGATGTATTTTCTCACAGCAGCAACAAAGCAAAGCAGAATAGCTTTAAGCGAAGAAGTGAGACCTGTCATTTCCCATCTCCACAGAGCATTTCCCTCAGCCCCACTCTCTACACACAGAATATCAGTGTTCCACCAGCAACTCCTCTGACATGAAATAGAGAATAATAGAAGTGTTTGATTGCTAAATTAAATCTCCATTCTCGTTGTCCCAAAGTGCTTTTACAGCAAGAATATGGAATGCAGCAATGCTTGGTATCACAACAGAGAGGAAGAAAAACTGCTTCTTGTCTGCTCAAGAAGTTTTGCAGCTTAGAACACCTGAGCAATCGTCCACAGATTGTCTTTGTGCTTCTCATGCCTGGACACATACTACCCTCCTTAAGCAGGGAAAAATCATTTTGACTACCTCAAGATTTGACAATACAAGCAATCTCCTAGTCCCGAACTTACTTCAATGGTAAACATCCCTTCTCCTGCAGTGCTGAATGGAAAAAAAAAATTCCCACGTTAACTTTCTCTCCTGAAAGCTAAATCAGTTCCCTAGCTGTTGTCAGACAATTCTAAACAACCCCATGAACTCATCACTTTTCACCGGCAACTCCTATTGAATCTTAGAAATTTAATACAGACAAAACCAGGATTTACTATTAAAACATGGGTCATAAACAGAGCTCGACGTAATGTGCTCAGAGCCAGAATGGAAACTGATCCAAGGACTCACAAAGTCTTTCTTCATCTCAGACAAGAATTATGATGGCATGTTGCTGTGCATCGTTAGAGTCACTATGCTCACCTTCTCAGTTTGCTGTATTTCATCACTGGTGAATGTCATTTTGCTATAAATGTCATTCTGTAACCAGGGCCATGTCTAAACAAAACAGTGAGAAGAGATATGACACCTGTTTGCCTACAAGGGCAGTTTGGGGCACTGCTTCTTCCACTACTGATAATGCATTGCTCATGAGACAGAGAATGAGCAGGAAAACATCTCCACCTCTTTTCTTTTTCTTTTTCTTTAATTCAGTAGCAAGAATGGATGGAGGCAAAATAGCTAAACCTTCTCCTAGCAGCATAGCACACATGACCTCTCCCAGAAACAGAGTTCCATCACTCAAGGAGGTAAAAGACAGCCTTTAACCATCCACCTCCTCCACTGTTATGCCATTTAGGTGCTCAATACCAGTAATTTACTGAAGATACTGTAAAGTTTCATAGCTACTTAAAATTATAGGATTTAATGTAAATATAAGCCAGGGACTATTACCTAAACAATTATATGTCAACAATTCCTTTTGATTATGATGATTAACTAACATTTGTATGCATCACAAGAGGAGTAGTCACATCTGTTCATGTGCCTAAGGACAAATCAAAGTAAAACAAATTCTTGTTATTCCTAACTGTAAATTAATCCAAGGATTGCCATACCAGATCACATCCAAGCTCCATATGGTACGATGACATGTAAGGTATAAGGAAACACTGGAGATACTCAGATTGATCTCTTGCGTGGCAAAGAATAGAGGACTTCACTAAAATAACTCTGAATTCAGACATCAGGCCATGGCTAACCATAATGTGTCAGAATAATTTGTAAAAAATTACTGGATCAATGAGTCATATAGGTTTGAAAGAACGTCTGGAGGTCTCCTAGACCAACATCCTCCTCAAAGTAATTTGAGTTAAAACTGGTTGCTCAGGTCATTCTTCAGACAAGTTTTGAGTTTCTCCAAGGATGGTGATCTCACAACTTCTCTGGGAAACCTGTGCCAGCATCTGGACACCCCCATGACATCCCATTTCTTTCCATAATTCTGATTTTAAACTCCCATCTTTTTTGCCTCTCATCCTTCCTCCATTTTGTACCGCCAAGGAAAGCCTGGCTCCATCTTCCCTACACACCCTGCTCAGTTTAGCTGTAGACTGCATCTTTCTGCTCACCCTCTTCTTCAGAGAATGAACCCCCTTCCCCAATAAGCATCATTTAAAGCCACCTTCACAAGGTTGTGCAGCCAATTAGAGATGACCTCAGCTCACTTTGTCAGATTCTTGCTCAGCAGTCCTTGCTCCTCAGAGCATCCCCCATGTCCCTGGAGATCACAGCCTGGCTAACAACACCACCATCACTGCCTGCAAGATGTGCCTGCACCAGCCAGAGCCTTCTCCCCTCGACCAGCAGGACTGAGGAGACCCCAGCTGGGCACCTGCACCTTCCACCCCTGCACTCAGAGCTGTGTGGTCACTCCTGACTCCTCGAGGTCTTCCCTGGCTGCATCATGGGTGCCCACATGGATGAGCAGCAGCAGTCATAGTCCAGGAGACAAACAAGCTCTGGCAGCCTCTTTGCAAGGCTCATGTGTGAGCTCTTGGCAAGCAGCAAACCTCCTGTGACAGCACGGCAGGCTGGCACACAATGGCTTCTGTCTCCTCAGGAGAGAGCTTCTGATACCTACCACACCCTCCTCTTCTGGAATCTTCTAAGGGTTGAGGCTCTGCTGGATCTGCTGCCCCATCTGAAGGGAGGGAGGTCATCTCTCCCACCTCTTCACAGGCACTTTACCTTCTCTGTACCTGATGAATCACAGGTGGAACAGGGGCCTTAGTTATGCTGTCAGCAGTAACCAACCTCCAGCCCTCGCCATCTTGAAAGTTTCCACCCTTGATTTTCAAAGCTTATCTCTATTTTTCTCTCCTTCCTTTCAACATGGAGCTCAGGTTCTTGGCTCTGCAGGGCCTTTGGAAAGATCTGTCCATCCTCCATCACTACCTGTGACAGCTCTTCCCCCTGGCACCTCACTGCTCCCTGACCAGAGTGCCCAGCCTTTGGCACCACCAGGCCGCAATGCCGGCCATGGCAGCCCTGCCACAACAGCCACTGTCACTCTGCCGGCCACCATTGGTTACAAGATGCACTCCTAGAGAAATGTGCCCTTC